TCGAGACAACGATCAAATATATACCAATCGCAATTCCTCCTCAACCCTTCACATTATAGGAAACTTAGCAATTAGACAAGAAGAATGTTTCACAAAGTCCGGTTCAAACACATTTAAGACCCACGGTCATGCTAGACTCCGGTGTATAGATAACCGTCACCATGCCTATACACCGTACTCTTCATTTAGCAATTAGCAAATAATATCCTAATCCTATTCCCTCTTACCAAAGTTAGATCAAACACTTACCTCGGTCCAAGAATAGCAATCAACTCTCCAATACCGCCTTTCCTCTACAATCCGACTCCGAAATAACGATATCTAGGCATAATCAATTCAATAATATCAATAAAGACTCAAAAACAAAATCCCATAGCCTAGAAATGATGCTTTTATCACATTTGTAGATCATGCATCTTGTTATCAACTTATCAAAAAAAAATGTAACCGTAGTTTGCAGCTCCGAGTAGAACTTTAACAGCATAAAAATGCAACCACACTAGTTGCACACTATATCAAACCTTTCGAATAAGTGCTTGTATAACATACCATAGTGAGTGTAGAAGGATCAGCAGAGATTTCAAGGCAGCTTTTGATGGACTCCACAACCTGAGATCAGAAGAAGAAAAGTAAGATTCTTATTTCTGCATATAGATTTCTGCATGTGTGGAGTGTAAATATAACACCCTTAGGAGCAAGTAGAATTGCTACTAATGGGGCCAAGTGCAAGTTAATATATGCAAGCCTTATATGTGGTTTAGGGTGTAAACGACATGTATGACTGGAAAACCAATCTTTGTTATTTTGTCCCTCATTCATATTTTTCCTTTAACAAAAGAAAGAAAAATGTAAAACATAATTTTTCCCATCAAAATTTCATTGTGTTTTTCGCTTTATAGAGAGAGAGAGAGAGAGAGAGAGAGAGAGAGAGAGAACCCCATGTTTTTGAAGGATGCCATTGCGATCACACATCACGATCCAACCAACTCGCCAACCAGGAACCATCCATCTCTTTGATATGGAGCCAATTGTCAGTATAGGTACAATTTCTCCGAAGACTCCCATCGCCACAAACGAACTACTACCAAAAACTAGATGACCATAGGCTTCATCTGATATTACTAGCATTCCAAGCCTTTTCGCAGTTTCTGCAATCTGTTACTCCCATTTAAGAAATCAACAATTAATAAGCAAACCTAATTAAATCAACACTTTAAACAAAACAACCACATTCTAATACAACGATGACACGACCTTCTTTAAATGTTCACGCTTGTACACATTCCCACACGGATTACCAGGGTTTATAAAAACCATGGCAACAGTACGATCATCGGCTAGAGCTTCAAGCCCATCGATGTCAACCTCCCAATCCTGCTCAGAGAGAAGATTATAGTACCGCACTTCGAGACGGCTAAATGTGGAAAGAGCTTCATATGTTGGATATCCTGGTCTAGGAAGCAAAATATTAGCACCAGGTACGGCAAGAGCTGTAATTAGGACTTCTATTGCTTGCTTAGCACCAGCTGTGACATGAACATCATACAGTGACAATTCGTATGGATAGTCACGAGACAGAAATTCTGCAATTGACCTGGTAAATATTTGAAACATCAATATTACTAAGACTAGTTCTTGGCCTTCTGCAGTACAATTACATTTTGACAAAGAGTTTAAGTTCTATCTACTAACGTGGAGAATCTTAGTAACTCAATTGGTTTGCTACCTGAATTTTCACCTTGTTGGTGAGGGTTCGATTTCCCGTCATGTATTATTCCCCTTCCCAATTTCCCACCCCTACCTCCAATGTAATTAAACAAAAAAAAAAAAAAAA